TAAGTTGTGGTATACTGCAACAAATAAGCAGTCGCGAACAAACAGCGGCGCCGTACTACCAGGGTGTGATGCAGCCTGCCTTCCGGGTTGGGGCCCAAGAGATGAGGATTGTCGTTGGTTAGAGACGCATTGAGAGATATGGCCCGGAATGGAAGTCAGTGGTGTGAATGCTGCACGGTTTACCTGTCAAAATCCCGTGCCCATAAGAAAAAAAACAGATTATACAAAAATAATTCAAACGGCGAAACACAAAAACAATTTTCATCCCATTTATTTGCTATTTCCCATTTTAACAGTTCCATCTTTTTCCTATGTTCTATATCCCAACCTCCCGTTCTGTATTGCCATCGTTATTACTATTTTGGCGTTGTCACCATACTTGTCCGCAAGCCGGTGTAAAGTACAATATAATATTATATATACGTATGTATATATGTACTACCAAGGTGTGATGGGTTTCAGGCTGGTCACCTGGCTCCGGTCCAAATGCCGCATAAGCCCAATGATGGTTTTGTGACAAAGGTCGATGTGACTGGCCTTTAAAAACTGAAGGATTCGAACACACAAACCCCGGGGTGACAATTTGGTTACGTTACCACCGGGCCAGCACCGTCCGGTGGATTTGGAACGGATTGGGAAAACAATAGATAAATTTCCATGATTATCAGTGCCCTATACGCGGTGAGGATAGCTCTGATTTTAGGCAATTAAAATTGCTGATGTTAAATGCGTGTAGCAGCATCCCGCAGGGAACAGGTTGATGGGTTACAAACCGGAACACAAGTAACGTTCAACATTGTGCCACTTAAACGATCATATCGAACATGTCCTGAAAATTGTAATCTTACAGCAAGGACGTTTTAGTTCTGCACTAAAATTTGACAAAAACACGCACTGATCTCTGCTCCAATTATTTTTTTTCCCATTCATTCTCTCAGTTAATGTCCAATCATGGATCACGCTAAGGTTTCCAATTGTCCCAGATAGGGACTGTTCCTGACAGCATGTAAAATATGGATTTGCAGTACGGTGTTTTTTTATTCAGATTGTCTTCAGAAAAAAAGAGGCTTCAGTCTTCCGCGGGGTTCACCACTTCTATTTTTTTCGATTGGGAAGTTGTCTCCGAGGGATTAGATTACATTGTACTCTCTGGCGCTGCCTCTCCTTGAAAGGCCTGTCACAGTTTGTTTCACTATTGTGATATATGAAGACCTAGAGATGAGTTCGAGCTTACTGCCATTTCCGTTCTATGTTGACTACATACAGTGGGGTTCGCCAGAGCTTTCAGGTCTCTCGAGTGAAAGGTTACCCGATCTAGAGTGCGTAGATTTCGCAGTACTGTTTTGTAAAGACCCAAATAAGTGGTAACCTTTTCTCAACAGATCGGATGTTATTTCTGTACTGAGCGTAGTACTTTTACACTTTTAAAGTATGAGCTACTATTACAAGATTCAGGTGGCCTAGCGCCCATTTTCATTTTAACTGCGGGGTGAGGGAGAGACAATAGAGAAAGTTGGAATTTGTTATTGCCTGGAGAGCTACATCTCTCCGGGGCAGATGAATTTAGACTGAGGTGAGGGTACACCTAGGGAAGAATGATCGGTTGACATTGACTAACTTGAGATAACTTCAGAGCCACCGAAAACCATTCAGTTATCTGTGAACGATCGGGTGTGTGTTACAGCTATCCTACCGGTTCCGCTATGCTGTGTGACGACAGAGGAAGATAAAACAGCCCATTGGTATTCAAACATCGCTGTGCCAGATTGCCTTACTCGAATCTGGTTGGAACAATCGCACAAACAATATCGAGGCTAGGTGCGGACTATCAGGTAATCGTGGTTGCGCTCGCAAAAACCAACTTGAACAACAACATGCTTCAGCTCCATGGATTACAATGGTCCATGATCAACCTAATTATTGGTTAGGGACATCGAGTGATATGACCGGGTGTAAAAAATCGGCACATCCAGCCACTTTCCACACAGATTTATAATTCACTTACTTTTTGTCTTTGTTCTGAACATGTTCGCAGCTTTAAACTCTTCGACTGATCCCTTCTTCATTGGTAGCCAAAGGACAGCAAATAGCGCCATCGCCCAGCGGTACAACTTCAATGGTTACGGAAACTCCAACTAAACAGTATTTCGATTTTACTATGATGAATTTAGTTCTTCATTTAGTTAATGATCGTCTTGAATCTGCGTGTACTTATGCTCAGACTCTCCTTTTCCTGATACGTCATGCTACAATCTTTCGTTTACAATCGTCGGACGGCATGGGATTATCGAGTAATACACTAATTTGTTTGTGGCTGTTTGCATAGGTATTATATTTTTGAGTATTTTAATCACACAAATGCCACCAGAAAAGTTAGATCTGGCGTTCCGGCGCTAAGATTGGCAGAACGTGTTTCAGTCACAACAAAGGAGGCAGCTGAAATGCTAAA